GATAGATAGATAGATAGATAGATAGATAGATAGATAGATAGATAGATAGATAGATAGATAGATAGATAGATAGATAGATAGATAGATAGATAGATAGATAGATAGATAGATAGATAGATAGATAGATTGAGTAAACCAACAATTACAATAAAACATTACCTTGACATGTTAAACTATTGAGTAAACCAACACTTACAATAAAACATTACCTTGACATGTTAAACTATTGATTAAACCAACACTTACAATAAAACATTACCTTGACATGTTAAACTATTGAGTAAACCAACACTTACAATAAAACATTACCTTGACATGTTAAACTATTGATTAAACCAACACTTGCAATAAAACATTACCTTGACATGTTAAACTATTGAGTAAACCAACAATTACAATAAAACATTACCTTAACATGTTAAACTATTGATTAAACCAACACTTACAATAAAACATTACATAGGCATGTTAACTCAAAAGTTTAAACCGACCACATACAAAGCTCCTTATATTGAAGAGACTAACCTGTAACTAAACACTCCGTCTGACCTTGGAGAACAGAGAATCTCATACCGTAGACACATGTTCCCTGGCAGTGTTAGTTTTGACAGTTGGAGAAATTAGATTTTTTTTTTTTTAAACACCAGAGGGTGAGACCTGTACAGTTGGGGGAGTAGGCGTACGATCAGTGATTCCAAAACTTTATTTTCTTTAAAGCTAATTAGCCTTTGGTTATTACCCTGGAAGCTGACTGAATTATTGATGGTTCAAGACATCGGATACAACGTTAGTGTAGGACGTTGACTGCTGGTTACAATCTTTGAGGCATACTTGTCACTCCAAGTGCCGTGTGCAGCCCCGCGAGCTACAGATTGGGAAGCATTGTGTTTGAGAGATAAGGCGGTGCACCATAAGCTCCCACTAATTGATGTATTGTGACGTCAGTGACAACACTAATCGGTTGGGACGAAAGCTTCCAAAATGGAAAGGTAGAAGACACATAGTAGATTCTATGCCTCAGAATTCATTTGCTGTGATATATCATATATATAAATATATGTATATATATATA